ATCACCATCGCCTTGTCGCGATTCCCAGTTTCGCCTCTCTCAAGCAATTTATCGTCACAAGCTTCCAGATATCTTTTAGCTCATTGTCCCATCTGAATCGAAGTCTTTCCGCTGGGCGTTTGCGGCTTCGTGGATACCAGTTCGATGCAGCTGCAGTTCAACGATCATTCGTAGTCTGTAGTCTGAATCGAGCTCGAGCTGCACGCAGGGAACTGGCGCCATTTTTGTTTGTGCTTTTCATATTGATGTAGGCAAATATTTTTGGCTACTGTCCGCACTTGCCAGGTATCGTGCACAGAATATCAGTTTGTTCTTTAGCCCAGCCAAATGGAGTTGGAACTGGGAGTTCCGTGAGGCTTAGCCCGTTAGAAGTTTTTCTCGGTGAGCTCGGGCACATCCACCTCTTCTCTGGTCATTTATCCTCCGCACTACCGAGGGGTATCTCATCTCTCCAAGGTGAAGAATAGGAACAGACAGCAATATGACAAACATTGCTTTGTAATTTTGTTGTTTGTGCATTATTGTTCATCGAATTGATTATTAATTATCTACGCGATCGATCATTCGCGGGCGTGTTTCGCAACGGACTGCGCTCAAAATGCCGCAACTGTATGCGGTAGCTGCGGAGTTTGTCGCCGGTAGGAGTAATTTAATTGTAACTCTAGTGTAGTTAGTAGTTTGGGTTGGGCGACCCGACCGCCTTTGTCGTTGTGGCGGTCGTTTGAGCGGTACCGCGACGAAAAGGGCGATCAGTTTCGCTGGGTCACATCGTCATCAATGACCAGTGCGCCACTGACCGACCGAGCAACTGGTCGACGAGGTTCTCGGAATTTGCGACACCCGGTACCCGGTGTCAACGTAAGTCGTGCCACTGCTAGAAGCAGCGGTAAGGCGAGCAGGCAGTTGACCCCGAAAACAGTCGAGTCGATCGCGACGTCCGGCTTGCTCAGTCAGCTCGGCTCAGTTCAGTCTAGGAGGCAAGGCAGTGGCCGTGCTTACCGTGCTTACTTAGCTTTGCTCTGCGTTACTGGTTCGAAACGACTTAGCTCTTTGATAATGAGGAATGTCAACTCAGTCAGCATGCACCGTCCTCACGATCCTGTGGCGTACGGGTGGTACACGTGACGGCCGCGTATATTCAGGTTTCTCGTCTGTATTGTTCGCTGTCAATTCTGTTAATTAATTTTGGAACTTTTTCACTGATCAGATGTCATACTGATGGTTCATAAAAGCGACTGCTTTCTTAGCATAACTTTGAATGGTAGATTT